GTCTAACAGTTATCTAGTCATGGTTGTGGTCTAACACTTATCTAGTCATGGTTGTGGTTTAACGTTTATCTAGTTCAGGTTGTGGTGTAACATTTATCTAGTTCAGGTTGTGGTCTAACATTTATCTAGTCAAGGTTGTGGTCTAACAGTTATCTAGTCAAGGTTGTGGTCTAACAGTTATCTAGTCAAGGTTGTGGTCTAACATTTATCTATTTCAGGTTGTGGTCTAACATTTATCTAGTCAAGGTTGTGGTCTTACGTTTATCTAGTCATGGTTGTGGTCTAACACTTATCAAATTCAGGTTGTGGTCTAACATTTATCTAGTTCAGGTTGTGGTCTAACATTTATCTAGTCAAGGTTGTGGTCTAACAGTTATCTAGTCAAGGTTGTGTTCTAACATTTATCTATTTCAGGTTGTGGTCTAACATTTATCTAGTCAAGGTTGTGGTCTTACGTTTATCTAGTCAAGGTTGTGGTCTTACGTTTATCTAGTCAAGGTTGTGGTCTTACGTTTATCTAGTCAAGGTTGTGGTCTTACGTTTATCTAGTCAAGGTTGTGATCTAACATTTATCTAGTTCAGGTTATGGTCTAACATTTATCTAGTCCAGGTTGTGGTCTTACATTTATCTAGTCAAGGTTGTGGTCTAACATTCATCTAGTCATGGTTGTGGTCTAACATTCATCTAGTCATGGTTGTGGTCTAACAGTTATCTAGTCATGGTTGTGGTCTAACAGTTATCTAGTCAAGGTTTTGGTCTAACATTTATCTTGTCCAGGTTGTGGTCTAACAGTTATCTAGTCAAGGTTGTGGTCTTACGTTTATCTAGTCAAGGTTGTGGTCTAACGTTTATCTAGTCCAGGTTGTGGTCTAACGTTTATCTAGTCCAGGTTGTGGTCTAACAGTTATCTAGTCAAGGTTGTGGTCTAACATTTATCTAGTCATGGTTGTGGTCTAACATTTATCTAGTCATGGTTGTGGTTTAACGTTTATCTAGTCCATGTTGTGGTCTAACGTTTATCTAGTCCAGGTTGTGGTCTAACGTTTATCTAGTCCAGGTTGTGGTCTTACATTTATCTAGTTCAGGTTGTGGTCTAACAGTTATCTAGTCATGGTTGTGGTCTAACATTTATCTAGTCAAGGTTGTGGTCTAACAGTTATCTAGTCATGGTTGTGGTCTAACACTTATCAAGTTCAGGTTGTGGTATAACATTTATCTAGTTCAGGTTGTGGTCTAACATTTATCTAGTCAAGGTTGTGGTCTAACAGTTATCTAGTCAAGGTTGTGGTCTAACATTTATCTATTTCAGGTTGTGGTCTAACATTTATCTAGTCAAGGTTGTGGTCTTACGTTTATCTAGTCAAGGTTGTGGTCTAACGTTTATCTATTTCAGGTTGTGGTCTAACACTTATCTAGTCAAGGTTGTGGTCTTACGTTTATCTAGTCATGGTTGTGGTCTAACACTTATCAAGTTCAGGTTGTGGTCTAACATTTATCTAGTTCAGGTTGTGGTCTAACATTTATCTAGTCAAGGTTGTGGTCTAACAGTTATCTAGTCAAGGTTGTGGTCTAACATTTATCTAGTCAAGGTTGTGGTCTAACAGTTATCTAGTCAAGGTTGTGGTCTAACATTTATCTATTTCAGGTTGTGGTCTAACATTTATCTAGTCAAGGTTGTGGTCTTACGTTTATCTAGTCAAGGTTGTGGTCTAACGTTTATCTATTTCAGGTTGTGGTCTAACACTTATCTAAACAAGGTTGTGGTCTTACGTTTATCTAGTCATGGTTGTGGTCTAACACTTATCAAGTTCAGGTTGTGGTCTAACATTTATCTATTTCAGGTTGTGGTCTAACATTTATCTAGTCAAGGTTGTGGTCTAACAGTTATCTAGTCAAGGTTGTGGTCTAACATTTATCTATTTCAGGTTGTGGTCTAACATTTATCTAGTCAAGGTTGTGGTCTGACGTTTATCTAGTCATGGTTGTGGTCTAACACTTATCAAGTTCAGGTTGTGGTCTAACATTTATCTATTTCAGGTTGTGGTCTAACATTTATCTAGTCAAGGTTGTGGTCTTACGTTTATCTAGTCATGGTTGTGGTCTAACACTTATCAAGTTCAGGTTGTGGTCTAACATTTATCTAGTTCAGGTTGTGGTCTAACATTTATCTAGTCAAGGTTGTGGTCTAACATTTATCTAGTCAAGGTTGTGGTCTAACAGTTATCTAGTCAAGGTTGTGGTCTAACATCTATCTAGTTCAGGTTATGGTCTAACATTTATCTAGTCCAGGTTGTGGTCTTACATTTATCTAGTCAAGGTTGTGGTCTAACATTCATCTAGTCATGGTTGTGGTCTAACATTTATCTAGTTCAGGTTGTGGTCTTACATTTATCTAGTCATGGTTGTGGTCTAACAGTTATCTAGTCATGGTTGTGGTCTAACAGTTATCTAGTCAAGGTTTTGGTCTAACATTTATCTTGTCCAGGTTGTGGTCTAACAGTTATCTAGTCAAGGTTGTGGTCTTACGTTTATCTAGTCAAGGTTGTGGTCTAACGTTTATCTAGTCCAGGTTGCGGTCTAACGTTTATCTAGTCCAGGTTGTGGTCTAACAGTTATCTAGTCAAGGTTGTGGTCTAACATTTATCTAGTCATGGTTGTGGTCTAACATTTATCTAGTCATGGTTATGGTTTAACGTTTATCTAGTCCATGTTGTAGTCTAACGTTTATCTAGTCCAGGTTGTGGTCTAACGTTTATCTAGTCCAGGTTGTGGTCTTACATTTATCTAGTTCAGGTTGTGGTCTAACAGTTATCTAGTCATGGTTGTGGTCTAACATTTATCTAGTCATGGTTGTGGTCTAACATTTACCTAGTCCAGGTTGTGGTCTAACATTTATCTAGTTCAGGTTGTGGTCTAACATTTATCTAGTTCAGATTGTGGTCTAACATTTATCTAGTCAAGGTTGTGGTCTAACAGTTATGTAGTCAAGGTTGTGGTCTAACATTTATCTAGTCAAGGTTGTGGTCTAACATTTATCTAGTCCAGGTTGTGGTCTAACATTTATCTAGTCCAGGTTGTGGTCTAACATTTATCTAGTTCAGGTTGTGGTCTAACAGTTATCTAGTCCAGGTTGTGGTCTAACAGTTATCTAGTCCATGGTTGTGGTCTAACATTTATCTAGTCCAGGTTGTGGTCTAACATTTATCTAGTCCAGGTTGTGGTCTAACATTTATCTAGTCATGGTTGTGGTCTAACATTAATCTAGTCAAGGTTGTGGTCTAACATTTATCTAGTCCAGGTTGTGGTCTAACATTTATCTAGTCCAGGTTGTGGTCTAACATTTATCTAGTCCAGGTTGTGGTCTAACATTTATCTAGTCATGGTTGTGGTCTAACATTTATCTAGTTCAGGTTGTGGTCTAACGATTATCTAGTCAAGCTTGTGGTCTAATGTATATCTAGTCAAGGTTGTGGTCTAACAGTTATCTAGTCAAGGTTAAGGTCTAACGTTTATCTAGTCATGGTTGTGGTCTAATGTATATCTAGCCAAGGTTAAGGTCCAACGTTTATCTAGTCAAGGTTGTGGTCTAACGTATATCTAGTCAAGGTTGTGGTCTAACGTTTATCTAGTCAAGGTTGTAGTCTAACGTTAATCTAGTCAAGGTTGTGGTCTAACGTATATCTAGTCAAGGTTGTGGTCTAACGTTTATCTAGTCAAGGTTGTAGTCTAACGTTTATCTAGTCAAGGTTGTGGTCTAACAGTTTACTAGTCATGGTTGTGGTCTAACAGTTTACTAGTCATGGTTGTGGTCTTACATTTATCTAGTCACAGTTGTGGTCTAACATTTATCTAGTCATGGCTGTAGTTAACAGTTTACTAGTCATGGTTGTGGTCTTACATTTTTCTAGTCACAGTTGTGGTCTAACATTTATCTAGTCCAGGTTGTGGTCTAACGTTTATCTAGTCCAGGTTGTGGTCTAACGTTTATCTAGGCCAGGTTGTGGTCTAACGTTTATCTAGTCCAGGTTGTGGTCTAACATTAATCTAGTCCAGGTTGTGGTCTAACATTAATCTAGTCCAGGTTGTGGTCTAACATTTATCTAGTCCAGGTTGTGGTCTAACATTTATCTAGTCCAGGTTATGGTCTAACATTTATCTAGTTCAGGTTGTGGTCTAACATTTATCTAGTTCAGGTTGTGGTCTAACGTTTATCTAGTCAAGGTTGTGGTCTAATGTATATCTAGTCAAGGTTGTGGTTTAATGTATACCTAGTCAAGGTTGTGGTCTAACAGTTATCTAGTCAAGGTTGTGGTCTAATGTATATCTAGTCAAGGTTAAGGTCTAACGTTTATCTAGTCATGGTTGTGGTCTAATGTATATCTAGTCAAGGTTAAGGTCTAACGTTTATCTAGTTCAGGTTGTAGTCTAACGTTTATCTAGTCAAGGTTGTAGTCTAACGTTTATCTAGTCAAGGTTGTGGTCTAATGTATATCTAGCCAAGGTTAAGGTCCAACGTTTATCTAGTCAAGGTTGTGGTCTAATGTATATCTAGTCAAGGTTGTGGTCTAACATTTATCGAGTCATGGTTGTGGTCTAACATTTATCGAGTCATGGTTGTGGTTTAACAGTTTATTAGTCATGGTTGTGGTCTAACGTTTATCTAGTCAAGGTTGTGGTCTAACATTTATCTAGTCATGGTTGTGGTTTAACAGTTTACTAGTCAAGGTAGTGGTCTTACATTTATCTAGTCACAGTTGTGGTCTAACATTTATCCAGTCATGGTTGTGGTCTAACAGTTTACTAGTCATGGTTGTGGTCTTACATTTATCTAGTCACAGTTGTGGTCTAACATTTATCCAGTCATGGTTGTGGTCTAACAGTTTACTAGTCATGGTTGTGGTCTTACATTTTTCTAGTCACAGTTGTGGTCTAACATTTATCTAGTTTAGCTTGTGAAGCAACTCCGCAGAGAATTTAACACTGCTGAATAGTCACCTACAGTTTTGGCTTTGTTGAGGTGACTCATACATATGTAGCCTCGACTGTGGCTGCGGAGGTACATGAGGTAGATGGGGGCACACATCCAGAGGTAGAGGCATGGAAACCACACCAGGACAGTGTTCTGAAAACACTGGGTGAGGTCTGGACTAGATGTATTCCATGTATGGTTCCAGTCCTGTTTAGAGAAACAAAATGAGAAGAAAAAGGCAAATTTTCAATAAACTGTGCAGTAACTGAGCAGTAGGTTACAAATATACTTGATAGGTCATGAAACCAGAACAATACAAAACCCTGTTCACTAGTTTTCCCCAGTTATGTCCTGGGATGGAAATGTATCCAGCTAGATCAGAGGAAACCACCAGCTGCTAAAATGGAAATGCATGATGGATGTAGGATCGCATGATGGATGTAGGATCTGTTTTCAAGTCATCTGTTAGACGCATTTTCATCAGGGTTCTAAGCTGTTACATTTGATTGTTTGATTATATTATTAACTGCTGTTTCCCAGGCTGTATAATTATTGTCTTTATTTAAGAGGCAAGGCATTTGGCCAAAAGTAGCCTACCCATTCTATTTGCCTCTTTCAGAATGTGATAACTCACCATCCTGTCTAATTCACATAATGCAGCTCTTTGTACTCATCTTTAGATTAGAACATTGTATTTCAAGTACTTTGTGTTTAGGAACTTTTTGTTCCTTTACTCTAATACTTGTTGAGTTGTCCTTTTTCTTTCTTAATAAATAAATAAAAGGATTTAGTACTCAGTTTGTAGTTTTTAAAGTATCTCAGTGTTTCCCTTACATAGGTGTAGCCGTGGCAGACCGCCACGCCTACAAGATCCCAAGTTTTATTGATTTTTTTTTTTTGCGCCATTTCCCGAAGAAGCAGCGGGAACTACTGTGTTGTTGCTTGTGATCACAGCCGGCAGGCAGCAAGGGGGAGGAGGCAGGGCAGGGTGGTTACAGCTAGGGATGAGTGTACGGATAAATCATTTTTGACGAATACGAGCATGAAACGAGTGTAAAACTGGTAAATATCTGTAATGGTGCTGAAGGAAAATCCTCATTGGGTATCGGACTGTCTTCACGCTCTGTGATTGGCCAGTCACATAGAGCGCCCGCCCCTCCCTAAACACAAAACTGCAGCCGGGAGCTCAGTCAGCTCGGCCCAGGCATCCATGCACGCACGCACGCACGCACACGCACACACACACACACAGTATTACAATGTTCACTGTAATGCATCTTGATCTTCTTAACAAATAAATTTGTAAATAAAATAAAAATCAAAGATATTGGTCAGTAATGCCAAATATGTAAATTTGTATTTCAGTCATTTTTATACCAACTTAAAAACACTTCATTAAGTCTACTAAGCAGGGGTGTAGAAGGTGTTTAATAGGGCCAGCCCAGTAATGATCTTGGACCAAAATAAAGGGGGCAGAAGGAGATGTTTTTCCAGACGCCAAGACAAATTAAATGCCAACCCCCCCTGCAAAGTGTGTCACTGAGAGTTTAAAACAAAAATTATTCTTGTGCAAATATTGGTGTACTCCCCTTTAATACTAGTTATTAAAATGCAGCAGTTGCTGGGTTGGTGCAGTTCAGAGTGGAGTGCATCAAATAAAACAATATTAACATAAAGGTGAGACGTGTCATAATTCCCCCCCAACATATTAAAATAATTTCAATGGGGAAAATAAAATAACTTAAAACTTGCTGTGGATCAGTTATGCTGCCACAACCCCATCTAGTGGGCAACTTTTGTTTCTTATTGTCCATTTATCTTTAGTGGGACGAGCTTGACCCCGCGACCTGACTTGCTCCTCCATATAGACCACTTGACACGAGACATCAACACCATCAGCCTCTGGCTAGAGGGCAAGAAGCCGGAACCTCCCCGTTGACCACCATTGTGCTTAGCTGTTAGTTGTTAATAAACAGTTAAACAGCAACAAAATAAAATCCATCAGCAAGGTTAACACTAGAGGTGCTGAAAAAAAATAGATTCAAGTCTGAATCGGGATTCTTATTTATAAAGATTCAGAATCGATTCCAAGAACTCAAATATTTGGCACATTACAGGTTTGAGATGCACTTTTTTGATCTTTGTTAGGAGAGTCAGGAGTCTGTTTACCTTTGTGGTCCCATAAATTGAGATGATTTATGTTTGAATCTGCTGATAGAGGGCACTTGAATGTCATTTTTTCCATACTCAGAAATTTGAGATTGATACTGATTGTGAAACAATTTAAACTGAGAATCGAGAATCGGAATCGAATCAAATCATGAGTTGCTCCAAGATTCACATCCCTAGTTAACAAACAGAGCTGTAGGCTGAACAACTAAACCAGTGGTTCCCAAACTTATTTAGCCGCGCACCCCTTCTATGTCCCGACCATGTCGACACCCCCCCCCCCCCCCCCAGCCCCCACATCGGGGCATGGCTATATATTATATATATATATATATATATATATATATATATATATATATATATATATATATATATATATATATATATATATATATATTATATATCAGATGTCAAGCTAAACAGACAGGGTTAAAAAAATCCCCATCACTTTCATTTTTTAAATAGTAATTAATAAGCATTCGATACCATTACAATTTCCTTTGATTTCATTTTGAATAAATATTTAGAGTGCCCAGGTAGCACATAAACAATGCAATTTAACGGTTTTCTTAAAGTAGGAACGTTTAACCTGTGCGGCCAGAGCGCTCTCCTCCCTTCTGCTCTGCGTAAACCTGAGCTGATCACTTGTGCGTAATCAAATGTCTATAGGGGACAAGATATAGCCATGATGTTCACTTTTACCTCAGACCGACTTATTGCTGTTTTATGGTGTGGCTGAATCTGCGATCCGCTGTCATGCGGACTGGAATAACAAATGCTGCAGTAACATGAGTTGTGGTCAGGTTCATGAGGAGTCACTGGCTGGAGCGGACCCGACTCATCCCAGAAGCTAATATCTTAATTTGACCTTGAATGAAAAATAACCTCTTAAAAGTTTTTATCGCGGTGGAGGCAGCGTTCATTTCTGCCTTCAGTCTGACGGCACGCCGGAGTTAAAGCAGCGTGTGCGCTTATTGAATCTGTGTGTGTGTGTGTGTGCGCGCGCGGCACAGCCGCTCAAGTCACCGCGTCTCGTTATTGGCGCTATTTAAACCAATGTTGTAAAATGACTTCTGCCCAGCCCAGATGTGCTCACTTGTGCACCCGTGAGCCGTGGTTCCGCTGGAACACGTCTGACCTCTGACAGACGCACTCTGAACTTCAGATCGTCAGCGCGCAGTTAATAGCCTGAATGGGAATCATTTCTTGTTATTTTGTTACATCCACAATGTTCTGTGTGTGAGGTTTACAACGTCAGAACACCTGCATGAGACAGGTGTTAATTACAATCTGCCAGAATGACTCACCACCTTCAGATTTCTCCAACACCGTTAAAAATGATCAAAAACGGAACATATCAGCGTGCGCAGGCCAGAGTGCTGAAGCTCGGCACATTGTTATTATGAAGCTAGGGCACATGTGGAGGACACGCGTGCGCGTGCAAAAATATACTTGTTTTCAATTACATTTATTGTGCCCACTTACTTTTTCTTTGGCCCACCCACAAACGAGTTTCTACGCTAATGGTGACATATGACAGACTTCTCTGAGCTCCGCAGCCATTACACTTTTCACCTCGCGCACCCCCTAGCGGCAGCTCGCGCACCCCCAGGGGTGCGCACACCACACTTTGGGAATCCCTGAACTAAACAAAAGAAGGTGCTGATAAAATACACCGAATGCAAAGTCCACAATAAAAAAGTAAAACATCTGCCCCACATGTCCAGACACAAACAGGTTAGAGCCATCTAATGACTTGTGTGCTTTTTTATATAGTTATGCATGGCCGCAGGGACGAGGAGTAGAACTGAGCTTCTGATCGGTTCTGAGACATAAACGTGTGTGAACGTGAAAATGCTGGTGTGGTGTGTAGTTCTGTGTGACCTGTGGTAACGGCCTTGTTACAATAATTACATAAAATGTACTCTCAAATAGAAAACGTTCTAAAGCCTTTATTGTAATGGCTAAGTCACAAATGACCTTTTTAAAACTCCAACGCGTTTCGGCGAATGTAGCCTTCGTCAGGGAGTCCAACAGTTCTCAGCAGTAAGTTCTTAACCAATGCAAACACCAATCAGAAAGCGCCACATAGCAGATTTGTTAGACCGGTGACAAGTGTCAACAATCACCAGCAGGTGGCATCCTTACTAAATTGAAAGAAAAAGACATAGTAAATAAAATACACCAAATATCATACATTAAATACAAATGTTTAAAATGCACCCAATAGAAGTACAATTATAATATCAAGAGCAAAAGGGACAAGAATAACGCCAAAACTTCAACCAGACTAAACCATCCATCCATCCATTGTCTGAACCCGCTTGTCCACGTAGGGTTGCGGGGGAGGGCTGGTGCCTATCTCCAGCGACCAATGGGCAATCAGGCAGGGTACACACTGGACAGAGATCCAGACCATCGCAGGGCAACACAGAGACACACAGGACAAACAATCATGCGCGCACGCACGCACGCGCACACGCACACACACACACACACAAGGACAATATAGACAGACCAATCAACCTAACAGTCGTGTTTTTGGACTGTGGGAGGAAGCCGGAGTACCCGGAGAGAACCCACGCATGCACAGGGAGAACATGCAAACTCCATGCAGAAAGATCCCAGGCTGGGAAGCATCGACATTAATATACTAGACATCTCCTTTCCATAGGCTCCAATATCACGTTTTTGAGGCCAAATGGGAGGTGGCCACCACCGCCATTTTGACCGTGTCACAGGTTCCGTCAAACCCAGACAATTCCATAAAAGGGAAGAGAGGAGGAGCTGAGGGTGGGGCTGTAAGGCTAGTATCAACTGACGACACCCGGTCGAACTAGCTACAAGCTAACCTGAAACTAACCCAAAGCTAATGTGGAGGTGGGAGCTAAGCTAACGGAGGTAGCAACCTAGCTACAACCGGAGTTAACTGTGCATAACACCAGAGCTTCTGAGTCAGAGATACGCCGGGCTGACCGCTGGGTAAAACCGGGTGGAACACAGAGGTCTCCGAGACCTCCACAAGCCGGCAGCCGCAC